ATCCTGCTGCTGTGTTCCAATGCTCTGGTGACAGGAGGGTCTGGAGGACATGGGATGGAGGGGGGGTCTGTGAGGTGGCTTCCCAGGACCTGTGTACCTGTACAGCTACATCACAAAGCAGGAAATGTGTGTGCTGAGGTGATGCTGGGGAGCTGGGGGCTGGCTGAGGCAGGGGCCTGGGGCAGGGGTCCATGTCATCATTTTCTCATTAGGTGGGACAGTGATCTGCCCATGTGAGATGATCTTGCTGGCCCTGTGGGCTCCAGGAATGTTGGCTTCTCATGAGTAGACCTACCAGATGGACCTCAGTATGTGTGGGGGGGTGCCCACCTTTCCTTCCACCCTTCTAGGCCTCACCCACCGCAGCCCCTGCCCATCCTAGGGGGAGAAAGAGAAAAGGAGGGTTGTCCTGCAGGTGGCCGTGCCCCATCCCTGCTCTTGGGGACCCAGCATACCCTGACCATGCCTGGTGGGCTGGCAGATGGCAGGTCCTGTTCAGCTTTTAACACCTTCCCAAGCTGCCTGCACATGGAGTCTGCTCCCCACCTGGCATTATGTAGAGAGCTGGGTCAAGCCTGGTCTCTGCCCTACCCAGGGTTCAGGGTACCATCTGGAAATAGAGACCAGGGCACATATAGTAGAGTGTCCCCAGGAAGCAATGCAGTCACAGCAATGCCCACAGGTTCTCTGTTCCACTGTTTAAACAGCTCTCAGTGAGGACAGGAGGTGAGGGAGGTAGCTGGATGAGGGGCAGCACAGGTGGCAACCGCTGTGAGCACTCAGAGGGGCCAGAGAGACAGACTCAGGGCTGCAGGTAGTGGAGGCCACAGTGTACATGGCACAGGCCTTCAGAGGTGGCAGGGCAACAGTGACCATGATGTGCATCACTCCATGTGTGTGCATATGTGTACATGTGTGTCCTCACATGTGTATGTTTAGTACTGGTGTGAAATGTGCATGGTGTTTATGCCCGTGTGTTGTCCATGTGTGTGCACATGTGTGCAAGCATGTGTTTGTATGTACACGAAGCCCACATACTGTCAGGAGAAGGAAGGGATAACCAGGCCTATTGCCAGGTCTGTTACATGGTTGTGACTTGGCAGGGCAGGCGACAGGGCCTGTGGACCCATCCTGAGGGAGGAGATGGTTAGGGACCCACTCTCCGCTGCTTGTTGTACGGTCCTGTGAGCACAGCTGGAGTGTGCCCATGCCAACTTTTTTCCATCCTGTCTCTGTGGTTCAAACTGTATAGCATGAAGCAGGGGCCATTGCTGGAGAGTTGATGGTGCGCTCTCCGGCCCAGCCCTCTGCACTGCTGGCTGGTGGTGGTGGCGGCAGTGGTATTGGGGCCACATTATAACTTTTGTGGGCCTGGGTTCTTTGGCCATCATGGGCTCTTTCCTGCAGACATTAAGATATTAGAAATTGGATTTTACAATTGCATTCGCATCAAGATGCACATATGAACCCTGGTGGTGAGGCCTGCTTGAACAGCCCTAAGGGCAGTGAAGGAGGAATTTCACCAAAGCTCTGGGGCTACCTGCACCTAGGCAGTTCTGCCATTGGGCCCAGAAGGGAACACAAGGCTGTCCCGGGCAGGGCGGCTGTTCCTTCGGCTGCTGGGCTTTGCATGCTGTGAACACCTAAGAAGCCAGGAAAGCTTTGGCCTTTGAAGCAGCTGGCTTGAACCCAGAGGAGGCAAGGGCTCCCGGAAGATCGGACTGGGCCGGGAGGCAGAGGGAACAGTGTCAGCAACCATAGCACTCTCAGGAGGAGACAGAGCCAAGGAAGATGCAACGAGAGGTGGCAGAGGCAGCCGCCGCCAATGAGAGGGTAGAACCCACACCAGGGGGCAGATGGCATGGGGGCCTCCAGGAGAGGGAGAAGTGAACTGAGAGCCTGGGGTCCCTGCCTGCTGGCCTTGTTGTGAGTGCCCAGAGACCCCCTGTGGGGACACCTGGCTAGAGGTGTGGGGTAGGAGAGGTTGGGGAGGAGGAGCATGAGAACTGAAAAAGGCCAGCAGACGACCCAGAGCCACGAGGCAGAGGCTGACTCTTCAGGGACTGGGTGTCAGTGGTAGAGGGGACAACATCCTCTACCTTGGCTCAGGCTCTGATTGGAGATGCAAAAACATCATGTCCTGTGGGGCTGGGAGAGTGAGAGGCAGGGTCTCCTGTGGATTCCTTTTGGCTGACCAGGCCTCTTGGTTCTTTGTCACAGAGGGCACTTTTCTGAGTCCTTGCTGCAGTCCGAGGAGGAGGTAGCCTCTGGTTAAGCAGAAAAGGGAGGAGGAGGAGGTTGGGTGTGGCAGGCAGAGCAGGCCAGGCAGGACTGGAGACGCTGGGCTCCAGGCTGGCTCCACCCTGCCCCACCAGAAAATCCTCTGAGCCTCAGTCTCCCATGCACCAAAGGAGGGTGTCAGATCCAGTGTCATCCCTCTCCCAGTCCTGTGCTTTATAATCTAACAAGCCAGTGTAGGAGACTTCTGAGGGAGCCCAGGGCGGGAGGAGCAGAATGGGAGGCTGCTGGGGCCCAGGAGAGAGGAGCTTGGCATAAGGATGTGCTCCAAAGCCACTTACACATATGACACTTCCTTCCAGGGTCCCACAGTGCCAAAGCCACTCTAGCAGAGGCCCTGTTGTGCCCTGCCCTCCCTAAGGGTGTGGGCTGTCAGCCTGGCACAAATGCCACCCCCACTTTTTTTTACAAGTGAGGGATCCCTGCCCTCCCAGGCTAGTAGGGATTCATCACTCTCAGGGCAGGGCTGGGGAAAATGTGACTTCATTCCTTCCTGGAGTTCCTTTCCTGAGGACATTCCTTCTCTAGTCCCCACAAAGTTGGGGTGAAAGTAGGGCCCAGCCTCCCCAGGGCACCCTCATTCTGAGAGTTTGGTCTGACTCTCAAATCTCTGCTCCCATTCCTGGAGGTGGCACCTCAAGCCCTTATGGACCCCAGCTGGGCTGATGGCAACTTTTTTCCATCCCGTTTCTGTGGCTCATCCTCTGTTAGCATCAGGCAGGCACCATTGCTGGAGAGTTGATGGTAAAACATCAGAAACTGGGGTGCTTTTTAGAAAGAAATGCGTACAACATTATTCCTGCACCCCCAGGACAGTAAGCCTGGCCAAGTGCTCAGGGCAGGCAGGGGTGGGGATGAGGACAGGGTGGGGGCAGGGAGGGGAGAAGTGCATGGGAGGCAGTAGCCTAGAAAATTACTAAATTGTTCCAGCTCTGGTGAATCACTTGTGGCCCGCTAAATCCGCTTTTGATTTAAGAGAGATCGTGTGACGCCTAAATGTTCAGGAGTTATCTGTCAGGGAGGAATTCATAAGCTTTGAGAGGTGGGTGCCTATCTCTTCTCTCAGGGGATTGAAATAGTCAGCAGATGCCGCCAGGATCAGCCCCCACCACGCCCAGCCCTGTGCTCAGCTCTGCGGGGGGACATGGTGGTCAGAGACACAGAAGCCCAGGCCCTGCTTCGGGAACAGTGGGCCTGGGGTGAGCATGGCCTTGGTCCTTGCTCAGGGTGGTCTTGTGGAGGAAGGGTCAGGAGGTGCTGCTGCAGCTGGAGAGGAGGGCGACAGCACTGTGGCAGGAGGAAGAGTGTGAATATCAGCACCCAGCCTTGGCGAGTCTGGGGCATGGAGCTGGGCCTCTGTCTAGAGCAGGAAGGGGCAGTGAGGGCCTCAAAAGGATGGCCAGTGGAGAGCTCCAGGCAGAGGACCTTGAGAGGCTCTGGGGCCCTCCTGTCTCTTTTCTGGGTCTGTGTATTCTGGGCCTGGGCCCCTTGTCTGCTCTTGTACCAGGTATGGCCCATAGCCTCCTGTGGGTGCAGGCCTGTGTGGGTGTCCCGAGAGCCAGGGTAAGCAGGTCAGAGTCAGGAGAGGGATGGCAGCGGATGCCCTGTTCAGGATCTTCAAGCAGAGCCGGGAGCCACTGGTCAGTTGGGGCAGAGTCGCTGGGAGGAGCATTTTCTGATTTTTCACCACCCCCTTTCCAGGACCCTGGGGGACTGGGTCCTTTCTTCCCACCCTCCATCAGGGTTCTCTGACCCAATTCAGGAAAGCCTGCATGATTCTGGAAAGTTCATCCAAGCTGTGGGCGAGCTGATGGTGACTAGATGGTCAGGACCAGTCCAGTCTCTGAGTACCCTCCCACCCCAAACCCCATCTTCCTGGTGGCCCTCCTGGAGGGAACGAAGTCATTGTTTGCCCTGGCCAGGCTGGTGGGTGGGAAATCCCTGCTGGCCCCGGAGGGATGGTCCATCCCGCTTTGGCCCCTCTGCCCTGCACTCAGCAGAAGTTTCTGGCCATCAATAGCCTCAGCCACACCCAAGGTCTAGACCCTCAGCCAACATCTGAGGCTCCATCCACCCTCCTCCGGATGAAGCCCAACGTTCTCCCACCAGGAGATGCGACCCAGACAGCCCTGGGAACAGCCAGCTATGGCGGGAACACAGGTCTCTGGGGCACGTCGGGAATGAGGCACATCTGGAAAAGCCTTTGCCAAGACCATTGCTGTCAGCAGGGCCAGGAAGGGCCTAGCCTTAGTAGCCTCAAGCCCCGCCTAGGGCTCAGATGTGGGGGTGGGGCAGCCCCCTTATTTAGCCTGGCTCAGGCCCGAGTCCATGGGAGGACCCAGGAGCCAGCAGAGGGCAAGTGGGCAGCACCTGCCAAATCAGGAAGTCCGGGAGGAGAGCTGGGCTGCACACAGCACCTGCCCGGAGCCCAGCCTCCTAGGGCTCACTGGGACCACAGGGGTGGCTCTGGCTGCCCTCAGCTCCTCTGGTGCATACTCTTAGCCTGGTGCTTCCTTTCCCACCCAGCACCCCAATTATGCAGGGTTGTTGGAGCGTGTCCCCTCTGTCCCTCCCCCACCCATCCTGGCACCTCTCTAGGCCTGCAGCCCCCAAGTTCTGTACTGGGGTTTCTGTCTGGTAACCGGGTTATCAGAGGGCCTTTCTGACAGATGGGCAGAGAACTGCTTTGGGCTCTGGGATGGGGTGTCCTGAGTTCTAGTGCCAGCTCTGCCTTTTTTTGGCAAGTCATTTGCAATCTGAGCCTTCTGGGGTTTCAGGAAACAGGCCCCAGCTGGACAGTGTCCTTTCTTCCTTCCTTCTCTGATTGGTCTGCATTTGTGGTAGATCAAGGAGAAGGAGGCATCCCTGGGCCTGGGGCTCCAGCAGCAAGCCCTTCCCCTTTCCAGCCACAAGGCCAGGTGCCAGCCACAGAGATCCTCAGAAATGGTGGGCACATGAGCTCTGTATTGGCACTCCTGGCCATGCCTGCATTCTGGTGGCGCCTCCTGGTGACAGCCATGCCTTCTTCCAAAAGAATGGAGCTGTAATGGTGGCATTAAAGGCAGAGGCCATGCTGATGAGGGGGAGAGGATGAGAGTCTCAGGAGGTGGTGGAGTGGCACCCTGAGGAGCCTCATAGCATCGTGAGATTGCTGGGCATCTAATCTGCCTGGGCAAAATGCTTTGCCTGACCAGTTCCCCCTGGGCCCCTTGGCCACCTGCCCGATGCAGAGCAAGGTGGGCTTCTGCTGAGTATACATACACACACTCTCACTCCACAGTGCCACAATCATTAGCTAGCCTGTCCTTGCTGAGCCCACGGGCTCTTAACAGCATGGAAACTGTGTGTGAACTAAACATTTATCCAACTATATGTTGGATAAATTAGTCTCAGGTGACCCTCGTCCACATGCACAGTAGCAAACTGTGGGCCCTCAGCTGTACATGGACACCGTCATGAACATCTGGGACATGCCTGGGTGTACACAGGCCTGTTTTCCTGTCTCTGCCACACTGGCCTAAGTTCAATGGCCCCTTGTGGCCTGGTGCCAGCTCTGCCCCTGCTTCTTTCCTCAAGTCTTCTTGGCTGGGTCCCAGCACCTGCCAGCCTCAGAACATAGCCCTGCACCAAGCAGAGCAGGGCAGGGACAGGTGTGGGGAGGAGGAGGGTGGTGTGTATGTCCCTCAGTAGGCATGGTCTGTGGGAGACAGCCAGGAGCCTATGACCTGGAGGGAGATGGTCATGTTCCAGAGGACCCTGGTCTGAGGGGTGCCACCTCCACCTGCCCTCAGGAGCCAGATCTACAGGAGAAACAGGCTGCTCTCTAAAACTTCAAGGTGAGGGGATCCTAGCCCTGCAGAGAGCTCTGTTTGGATGCCCCTGGAACTGACCAGAGAGTTCCTCATGTGGGTCAGTGTCCTTGCCAGGGCAAGGGGCCTGGGGCCAGGGGCCAGGGGTGTGAGGGAGCCTCCCAGGGCCTGGAATGCTGAGCCAGGGCTCCTCAGAGGAAAGGAGGTAGAAAAGGGCCCAGGAAGTGACCCAGCGGGGCTACTTTCCTCTCCTGGACAGCTAAGGAAGTGCTGATGACCTTCGGCCACCCGGGCTCTCTGAGCAGGCAGGGCCTACTGGCCACCACCATCCTGGACAGGCACTTAGGGGAATGCATCTCCCCGACCTGCAGCCCCAGCACACACACACCAGGCTGGTCCCTGTCAATTTATGCTGAGAGCCAGGCCACAGCTGGGCAGAGGGGTGATCAGTGACGGCTGGCGTCATTGTCTGCAGGACAGCCCCTGGACAAGAGGTACAAGATGCACTCATCCTTGCCTTGCCCTAAGCACATTTTGAACGCAGAGGAGTCCTCTCATTGGGCCTCAGTTTCCCACCTATAAATGGGAAGATGCCAACACTGCTGAATGAGATTGTGGTGGGACAGGCAGGAGATGGGAGGAGAGCCCAGATCATCCCAGGCCCTTCCTAGGGGCCAAAGGGGGACCCTCCCTCTTGGGCCTGGCTTGTCCAGCATGTTCCATGTAGTAGGCAAGAGGGCTGGGCCCCGGGGTTCCTGACGGCTTGCTGGCCCCTGAGTCCAGATTCTTGTTGTTTGTCAGCTGGCGCTAGACCTCTGGATCGGAGATGCCCAGGGCATAGGGGGTCCACAGGGGTCTGCCTGAGGGCTTTGGTCCCTCCTGCTGTGGGGGGCTCATCGGGCCCCTCCTGCTCTCTGCCTCTCCTCATTTATCTCTCCCTCTCTGCTTCTTGGCTCTGGGGTCCAGTCCTATCTCCCCTGCTTCAGTTCGTCTTTTCTTAACCCTCTGCGTGCTCTCTGTGTCTCTGCTTGTCTCACTGTCTCTGGCTGGGGATCTTTCTCTCACTTCCACTTTTGCTCTATTTCCCTGCTACCGCCTTCCTTCTCTCCGTGTCTCTCTGTTCTCTTCCCCTCAGCCTGCATCTCCCTGTCTCTCCCTTTCTCTCCTGCTCACTCACTCCCTCCTCTCCAGCACCTTCCAATACCAGGTCAGGCTGCCGTTCCTTCCACCTTCCCAGTGACCTGCCAGTGTGACTGCCTTGAGAGGAAAGTCCGAAACTGTCTCCATCGTCACCAACCTGCCCTCAAATCGTTGGTTCAAACAGCTCCTGAGAAGTTCGGGAGCTCCGAGGGCGGGCGCTTTCTAATAGCCCTGCCATACTCACAGCACAGAGAGCAGCCATAGACAACCTCTCTGCACCTACTGATGCCTCCGTGCCTGCTTCCACTGAGGCTTGGCTGGTGGGACTGGGGGCTTTGGGACATCCCTAACATGGCATGCAGTGGTCGTGCAGGAGGCCCTGACTGTGCCTCTGGAGCCCTGGGCTCAGAAACTCCAGGCCAGTCTCTCTCTGGGTTGGGATGGGGATGTCAGGCCAGCAGGATCATGGTGCCTGCCTCCAGGGAGGGCAGCGTCCACCGACCGAGTCCAGCCTACCGACTCCACCCACTCGAGTTCCTGGCTCTACCCTCAGGAACCCCCTGAGCTTTGCACACAGGGTGGAGACACCTGGATTTCTCTGGTCCCCTGAGTGAGGCCAGTTTGGAGGAATTTCCCAAAGCCTGTTAGAGCAACGGCCGCCTCCTGCCTGCCTCCTTGGGCTGGGCAGGGCTGAGGGCGGAGGGAGAGAGGGAGGGGGGGAGAGGAGGAAGGAAAAAGTTGGCAGGCCGACAGCAGAGCCGAGTCTGCATCCATCCAGAGGAGGCCCGTGCGGTGTGGGGCGGGCCAGGAGTGAAGAGAGGCCTTCCTCCCTTTGTGCTCCCCCCGCCCCCCCGCCCCTATAAATAGGCCCAGCCCAGGCTGTGGCTCAGCTCTCAGAGGGAGTTGAGCACCCAGCAGCGGTCTCAGGCCAAAGCCCCCTGCCAGCATGGCCAGCGAGTTCAAGAAGAAGCTCTTCTGGAGGGCAGTAGTGGCTGAGTTCCTGGCCATGACCCTCTTTATCTTCATCAGCATCGGTTCTGCCCTGGGCTTCAAATACCCAGTGGGGAACAACCAGACGGCAGTCCAGGACAATGTGAAGGTGTCGCTGGCCTTCGGACTGAGCATCGCCACATTGGCGCAGAGCGTGGGCCACATCAGCGGTGCCCACCTCAACCCAGCCGTCACGCTGGGGCTGCTGCTCAGCTGCCAGATCAGCATTCTCCGTGCCCTCATGTACATCATCGCCCAGTGCGTGGGGGCCATCGTCGCCACCGCCATCCTCTCCGGCATCACCTCCTCCTTGCCTGGGAACTCGCTTGGCCGCAATGACGTGAGTGGGGTGTCCCCGGGCTCGGGGTGTTCTAGCATGATGCTGAAAGGCACTGGTTCCATCCTTGGCCCATTGTGCAGATGGGGACACTGAGGAATGGAGAGAACAAGAGGTGGCTGGAGGTCACGAAGAGAGCTGGGGCTAGAACTCAGCTATGCATGCCTCCCAGAGCCTGTTTTCCGCCAGGCACTGTGGGAAGCTGAGAGCCAGGGAATAATGGTCTTGCCAATGTCCCCTGCAGGGCATTTATTATGGGGAATAAGCTTGGCCAGCCGTTTCTCGCCCCTTGGCTGTAGCTTTTTGGCCCTTCTCAGTCCTGCCTGTGCCGCCAGCTCCCTCCTCCTGCAGCCCTGCACCCTGGGGAAGCTTTGCCCACCATCCCTAGCCACCCTGAACCTGATGCCCAGCCTGTCTGCAGCTGGTTCTGCAAGTGTATGAGCAGGACTCCCTCAGGGAGCCCCCAGGCCTCTGGGGAGCCCCCCATATTCACACAGGTTTCCAAACACACCACCTCTAGGAATTAAGAGAAGAGCTCTCTTCCACTCCTCTGCTCCAGGGAATTAGACAAAGATAAGGGAGTGAAAACACTTTCTGGGGCTGTTTGGAAGTGGTTTTCCTGGATTACAGTGTGGGCTGGGGGGCAAGTGCTGGGCTCCAGGCACTGACAGGTGTGGCGTGTGTGTGTGTCTGTGTTTGTGTTTGTGTGTGTCTGTGTTTGTGTGGGTGTGCATGTGTGCATGTGTTTGCCAGCATGGGTCTCTGAGCTTGTGTAAACTGTGCGCATGTTTGTGCACCCGTGTAAGGGTGTGTGGGGGTGTTTGTAACCACACGTGCCCATGGCTCCTGGCCTGAATGGGGTCTGGACTGGGGTCACTAATGACAAGCAGATGCTGGTGACTGGGTGGCAGCTGTGGAAGAGAATGTCTCCTGAGCTGCTTAGCACGGCTAATAGGCCACTGGTGGCAGCTGCCTGCTATCTCAGACCTGAGTTTTTCCAGCTCCTCAGACAAGTGCAAACTCAGGCCGGGCTTGGGCCATAGCAGGGGTGATTTGGCCTGGAGACTGAGGAAGGCTTGGAGGATGTCTCTGAGAGCCCAAGGGGTAGGTGAGCAGGCTTGGGGGTGCCCTCATGGGGAGGGAGGGAGGCTAAGAAGTAGAGAGGAGGACTCATCTAGAGAGAGGAGGCTGGCGGGGCTGTGGGCAGGGCAGGCAGGTGTGGGGATGGTGTGAGCCATCTCTGAGGGTGCCACAGAGATGGCAGGAGTGATTATAGCAGCTGTCCTCTCTCTTCCTAGCCAAAGTTCAGATTCTGGGGCTGGCAGCCAGCAGGAGGCTAGGTAAAGGTCTGGTGCAGAGGGCAGCTGGCTCAGCCCGGCCACGGGGGGCTTAGCACTTTTGTGTCATGGTGACAGCTTGCCCAGCTTCCTCTACAGCCAATCTCTGCTCAGCCCAAGATTGAAGATTAGCTCCCTGGGCTGGAGTTTAGACTTTTGCCAGTTTAGACATGGCTACAGGGGATGTAAGGGACAGAGCTCAGGCAGGCCACGTCAAGTTCTGCCCCCCAGGCCTCAGTTTCCAGTGGAGGCAGAGCTTGTGGCCTCAGGGAGTTCCAATGGGTAGGGTCAAGCTCACACTGAGGCTTGGCTGGGCATCATGGGCTGGGGAAGGGTCCCCATGGGGGAGGGGTTGCAATTCCCAGGCTTTCTGGCCCCATCTCTTCCCTCCCATCTCACAGGGCAGTACCTCTGCACCTGCTGGCAAAAGCTCCACACTCCAGTATGGGCATCTGAGGCAGAGGCAGGAGGGTGGGCCCCATCTGTGCCATCTGGATCAGGGGCCACACCCAACTCCCGTGCCCCATGTCCTCCCTGGCCTCCGTTTTTTATAGTCACCCCAATACTTGGGCTGGGCATGTTGCAAATGGGAGAAAAAGAGGAGCAGCCTAGTGTGGGGGCCAGCCTTGGGCTGGGAGGCACACACCTGGATTCAAGACGTGTCTGTAGCTAACCTGTTGAGCTTCCTTGGAGCTGCGGACCCTGAACCTGGAGAGGGGACCTAGGTCTTGTGACATCTCACAGCCACACCCATACAGCCAGCTCACTTCATTGCTTTGCACTTATCACCCATCCCAGGGAAGCTGGGTAAGAGCAGCCAAGCAGGGCCAGTGCTGAACCTCAGGGCACTACGAATTGCAGTGGGGGCTCAGGCGCTGCCCTGTCCCGACAGGAAGGATGGGGTTCTGCAGCTCAACTCTGGGCCTAGAAACAGAAATGTGCCCCCCGAGGGCTCCCATCAGACACTGGCCCTGGAACTGGAGGGGGCTCAGGGGTGGCCCGGATGCCTTAAAAGGGACCGGGGATGGTCTGAGCAGCAGGTGACACACTCCTTCATGATCCAGGGGAGACTCCCGCAGCCTCTCTGACCCTGAGCCCTACCCCAGCCAAAACCTGGGTGGGACAAGTTGTTGGCATGGAGATTTCCAAGGAAAACAGAGAAAGAGGTGGCAGGAAGTGGTTGGGATGAGTCAGGGGGTGTCCCTTTGAGACATGTTGGGGACAACTTTCTGCTGACTGAGTCAGGGCTCAGGATACACCCTCTAGAGACCATGGGCCTCCATCCAGCCGCAAGGTCCTGGCTAGTTCTAAGAGCCAAATACCAATTCTGGCCAAGGGTGAGAGGCTCTGAGGCTGTGGGGGACACTCGTGCCTGTCCCTGTCCTAGCTCAGCCACTAACACCATGTGACATCACACAACAGACTGGCCTGTGTGGCCCTGTCTCATGTCTATGAGATAGGGACATAGTAGTGTGTGGCCACGCTCTGAGAAGTAGGAGACATTGATGGACTTGGGATTACTGGCATTTGCTGGTTTTTTTCATTCTTCTGCTGTCTGGTTTGCTCAACCAGCTCCCTGTAAGCATGACTGGGGACTGCTGGGTGCCCAGTGCAGGGCTGGGTTAGCCTGGCTCCCTCCCCAGAGAAGCCCACAGCCCAATGGCAAGATAAGCCAGTGCACAGCTGCCTGTGATAAGGAGCAGGAGGCAGATGCGATAAGAGGTGTCAGGGCAGGAGGCCTGGGAACCTTTGAACTTAAAGGGTAGGAGGTCTAGGAAGGCATCAGGGAGGAGGTTTCGCAGGAGCCAGAATGTGGAGACCCTGCCAAGGGAAGGGGCAGAGAGGACTGTGTAAACATAGGGTAGAAGGAGGTGGGGGGCAGTGTCTGGGAGTAGTGGGGTGTGGTCAGGCTGGGGGGCATGGAGGGAGGGTGGTGAGGGCTTAGGATTCAGGCCAGGGGCTGCATCCAGGGGAAGGGGTCTGGATCCCCAGAGCCTGTGATTTCTGCCCCCTGGGCTTAGGCAGAGGGCAAAGCTGCCCTCTGGGGTCTTCTCCAGCCCTGCTAATTCGGGGCCTGACTGTTCAAGAAGGGCTTCTACCTGCAGCATCAGGGGCCTGACTGAAACCCTAAACTCTCCCCTTCACCCTGTTTTCTAGGCCTCAGTTTCCCCAGCCATAGAGTGAGAGGCCCCTTCATGCCACCAGTTCTCCCGGGGGCCCTGCCACCTCCCCCAGAGCTCAGGGGAGGGCTGGGGAAAGGAAGGCAGAGTTTCCATGTCCCTGTCCAGCCCGGCTGCACAGGGAGGGCTGGGGGCTGGGGGCTGGGTGGTGATGCCACATCTGGGACATATAATTACCGTTTCCAGCCAGTCCCAGATGACAGGGAGGGCACAGAGATGGGTGGGAGCTTTGTGGTGGAGACTTCCCTCACCATGGAAAATCCTGAGGCTGCTTCCCCTTAGGGCCCTCAGCACAGCTCAACTGGTATCAGTGTTGCCCACCCCGATGCTTGCCCTAACCAGGGCCTGCACTGGGAACTCTGGTCTGAAGGTGCCCTGCTTTGAGAGGGGACATGGCCCCCTGGGATGCCTAAGGGGCTTACCTCCGGCATCTCCCCAGGCTACAGCCTCCTTTCACACCTTGCCTCCCCTTCTCCACCCAGGGCAGCCTTCCAGCAGTGTGAGGGGCCATTAGCTCACTGCAAGCCGATTCCAGATGGTGTCCCCACTTAGTCTAGGGCCCCCACCCAGCAGGGGCCATGGCCCTTACCTTCCGAAAGCACACACAAATCTGGAGTCTCCTGAATGGCTGGGATCTGAGCCCTCACACCTGGAGGTGAGGGCAGGAAAATGCCTTCTGCAAGGCCCTGCGGGTGGTCTGGGTCCCCTCAGTCAGGGCTTCCCCTGGGGACAAGAGGAACTCCTTGCCCACATGGAATGGTGCCCAGGGGGATCATGAGGGGCTATCTTCACTCAGCCAGTAGCTACAGTTCAGTGGGGTGGGCACACTCTGAGGCTGAAACCTCTAACTTAGAAGATGTCCAGAAAGGCTGGAAAATGCTACTGCCCCCTCGTCCTCCCACCCCCCGCTCCCCACCCTTTCAGTGCCTGCAATCTCATCATGGTCAGAGCCCCTTGAGAGGCAGGTTTCTGCTCAGTATAAAGAAGGTTGCTGTTATTGCTGACATGAAGAAGGGGCTGCCTCTAAGTAAATAAGCTCCCTGTCATCAGGGGTGTGCAATAGACACTCTGGTGGGGAGGCCACTTTGGGGGTGCCTTTCTATGCAGGGGTACAGTAGGGTAGGTGACAGCTTCTGCAACATAGGCTTTGTGTCATGCTGAAACCAGCAGTTCTGATGGTCTGCAGGGGATCCTGTGCTCAGGTTTCTGGATCCGGGGCTAGAGAGTGATCACCCCGACGTCAGGCAGGAGGCTCTTCTGGAGACTGTCTGGGGCTAGAATCTGGGCCAAGGCCTCCATTTTACTGATGGGGAAACTGAAGCCCACAGAGGCGTGGAGGCTTGTCAAGGTGGCAGTGCCTCCTAGCCCTTGATTATTTCTGCTGCTCCGGAGTGCACAGCGTTGCACAAACACAAATACGCACGCATATGTGCTCTCACATGGGGCACACACACACGGTACACAGAACTCATTCTCAAGACTGGGTGGTCCCGCTCAGGCTCTGGGACCCGAGGAGGGTTGGGCGGAGGTTCCTCAATGGAGCCTTTTCCTTTCCCTGCCCTGGAGTTAGGAAAAGAAGGAGGGAGGCAGGGAGGAAGCTATTGCTTTGTGTATTGTTTCTTGTCAGGAAAATGAAATGGCTTCTGGGAGCAAATAAAGGGCTCGTTGAGACTTGCTGCCTTCTCACTTGAGGGGCTCATTTTTTTCTCTTCTCTTCCCTGTCTAGCTGGTAGTGGCACCTGTGTGGGTGTGACACAGGGACGCAGTGAGGCACTCAGAAGTGCCATCAGACACAGCACGACCTCCAGGACCTCCTGTCCTGTAGAGACCCCGTGTGATAGCTGTCCCCAGGGAGGGCTGAGGCACTTGGTCACTACCTGACCAGTTGTATGAATGTCCCACATGGGATTAAAAAGTGTGTATTCTCTAATTCAGGGGTACAGGGTTTTTAATATTTTTTTTAACCAAGTTGGTTAATGATGTGGTTCAAACCCTCCCTGTTCATGTTATTGGTAGTTTTTGGCTGCTTCATTTATTCTATACATTTCTAATAGAAGATTGTTACAATTCTTCACTTTGGTGGTAGAGTGATCCAATTCTCCTTATAATTCTGTCAGTTTTTCTCTCATTTACTTTTAGGCTATGTTGTTTGGTGAATGCAAATTGGGAATTTTTGTAGTTCTTTTACAGATTTTTAAAATTTAATTATTGTGTAATAAACCACTTACAATCTAACAAGAGAAAGGGGGAGTGAACCCTGGACACGGGTGGTCATCCACAGGCACAGCAGACACTTATTTACAAGACATGCAGAGGCACACAGAGCCAGGAATACCCACATGTCCATGTATGAACACCCATGGAGGAGTGACACTGTGGGGCCCATAGAGGTCCCCTCACTGCCCAGTGCTGAGTCCTGGAGGCACTGGGGTGGGCAGGGAAGGCCTCAATGTTTTCTGTCCCCTGAGAATGAATGCTTAGAGCCTCAGTCAGGTCCAGAGGCTTCTGGAGCCTGCTGTTCCTCAAGGCCAGGTCAGGCCAAGTCAGGGGCCCCAGGCCTTGGAAGCTACCCTGGTTGGCCTGTCTGTGGGTAGCAGGGAGGGCTTAGAGTACATTGCCTGGAGAGATCATTCCTGGGCTGCCCCTGAGGCAAGACACACTGGCAGCCACAGAGCCACCTTCTGCCAGCTCTCGAGTCCAAGCTGGGGATAGCCAGGTCCCTTGGCTGGGCCTAGGAGTGTCCAGCCCATTGACCTATGAGTGTAGGGTGGCACAGACCATGGAGCAAGGATCCTGGCTTTGCTGCATCTTCCCTGGGCCTCAGCCTCTACATCGTCATCTCACTGAGCCTTCGCGCAGGCTGCTTTGTAGGGCCCCAGAGGCTAATGATTGGCCCATTGTTTCCCAGCTAGAAAGTAAAGAAGACAGCCCTGGGTCCGGAGAGCATCTCTGCCCCTAGCGAGGGTGGGAGTTGTAGAAAATTAGCATCCTCTACCACTTCCATCACCACACAGTGAGCCTCCCCTCAGATATGTGGGCAGGGAAATGGCAGAGGCCCCCCACCCTGTCCTCGCTGATCTCCCAGGCCAGGAGGAGTTGCACCCACATAGGCCGCAGGAAGACTGGTTTCCTACAAGATGCACAGAGAATTCAGTGAGGACGTGGCAGGTGTGAGCAGAAGTTAATTCCGGTCAGGGGTCCGGGAAGGCTTCAAGGAGCTGGTGGGGTCTGAATTGGGCCTTGAGCAGTGGGCTTACAAGGGCTCAGCACAAAATGGAAAGCTTGTATCTTTTTGACGCTTCAGAAGAAATGTGTGCATTATGCTTTAGGTAATTCATGCATTCACAAAACCTAGGGCTGCAGACAAAGGCAGGAAGAGAATTGTCGACTGTTATTTTTTGTTTGCCTTAATAAGACCTGAGCCAGGCAAAACTACCTGGGGATGTATATGTATATTTTAATAATAGGTGAATAAAATGGGAACTGTCCCTCTTTAAGCAATTTTTCAAATTTAATGTGTTGTAAACAGTAACATATATTTTGAAGTATTTTTACCTTTTCTTTCCTGGACATTGAGTTTCAACAGGTCTTTGAGTGCCCCTTTCAATTCTGAATTATCAAGTTTTTCCAGATGTAAATAATGCAAGTGTAGTTGAAGGAAGACTGTCAGTAGATGTTGAAGCAATCAGGGGAGGCTTCCTGGTGGTGGTGGTTGTGGGTACTACAGAGGAAGGCTGTCAGCCCATGTGGTTCTCAGCAGTCAGGAAGACATATTCCTGAATTCCCAGGGCAGGTGGCTGCTCTCTCCCCTCCCAAGGACTCAGAGCACAGAGCCTGGAGTGCCCACTTTGCATGAAAAGCATGGTATCTTTGGGTAGGGGCTGGGGCTCTGAAACCTGGTTCAGAACCAGCGGTCACATCTGTGAGGGGTGGGGCTGGGAGGATTCTCCACGGCGGGCACAGCCATGGCTCCATTAATCATTGCGGAATGGCTGGTTTCAGGATTTCTGCCAGCTAGCAATTAGGCCGGCCCTGGAGAGCAGAGGAGAGAGGAACAGAAGAAGCTGTGAGCTTCCTGAAGGCTCAGACACAGAGGGACAGGGGTGGGTGGGCATCAGGACCAGCCAGCCTGACCTCACCAGCCTCAACCCCGTCCAGCCTGTCCTAACTCTGGGCAGGCTCCAGCTGCTGTCACTCCCTTCTCCCTGTCCCCAGATCTTGCACACACAATGAGAGGAACCACAAAAAGAGCCACAACCACTGCCCCTTCCCTCTTGCGTTGGCAACTCTTTCCAGATGCCCTGAGATGGTTCCTTTGGCCTTTGAATCTCCCGGCTGGTCTGGAGAGCAGGCATGGAGAAATGAGATCCATTTTGCAGATGGTGAGACAGAAGACCAGAGGGGATAGGCCATGCTCATGGTGCCAGAAAGTAGAAGAGTCAGGACCTGAACCCAGGGCTTCTGCCTCCTTGGTCCAATGTTGGGACAGAAAGGGAACTGGGCACTGCCCAGAGGTCTGGCAGACCTATAGGGATGTAGCTCTGGGGTCTGCCAGGAAAGGCCCAAATCTGGGGCTGCAAGGCAGGGGAGGGGATGTGAGTCATTCCCTGTAACCCAGGGCTGCAGACAAAGCCGGGAAGAGAATTGTTCTTCTAGGATGGCCTCAGGGTGGGGCTGGGAAAACCTCCAAGGTGTGCCCCCCTACCTTGGATTTTGTAAAATTCCCTATAGCCTTGGAGGCACTCCCATACCCTGAGGATGGGAGCTGGGTAGTGGGGCTGCCAGCTGGGAAGTGTTTGGGTACATCCGCCCTGACTGGGAGAAGGCAGCCTAAGTGGCCTCATCTGGGCATCTTTGCAAGTGAGCCTTTGCTGATATGGTCCAGCTCCCCTGGGTGAGGGCACTGAGCCCCTGGGACGGCCACAAAGCATAGTGGAAGGTGCTGGGGCTCCTTGGGGAGGGTCCTCCTGGGGCAGCTGCATGGGGACGGCTTTCATGACTTCACTGCAGCTCCCATTCCCTTCTCTTTCCATGAGTCATGTTTCTAAAAGTGGCCCAGGAGCAAGTGGCAGCCAGACGGTGGTGGGGGGGCCTATCTGGCCAGGGAGACAGAGGGTGAGACTGCGGCCAGAAGTAGGGAGGAAGAAGAGAGAAGGAGAGACAGGGAGGGCAGGACCAGAAGAAATGGGAGACAGGTCCTGGACCAGGAAGAGAGACGAGACAGGTGGAGAAGGAGAGAGATAGGGTGGAGAAAAGAGAGGCAGGCACGGAGGGGAGAGAGGAGTGGAGGGAGCTGGGAGCTCACTGAAGGCCCCCCACAGCCCTGGAATTTAGATGCAGTCGGGCATGGGGTAGAATGTTCTGGACTTTTGGGTCTGAAGCCATGTCCCCTGCTGGGCCCTCCCACCTATTTGCATCTCTTCTAAGAGTGCTCCTGACCATCACCCCCATGCCTGGGACTTGCCCCTTGCCTCTGGCCTTGGTACCCCAGAGTAACCTGGCCAGGATGCAGCTGGATGTGAAGGCCCCAGCTCACCCCATGGGTCTCCAGCTTCTAGGTAGAGTGGGGCTGGGTCTAGGCAGCTCATAGAGGCTGAGCTGGAGTTTCATCCACAGCAGTGGGAGGGTTCAAGGCCTGATTTCCACCATCTGCTATGTGTGCTTGCCCGGGGCCCTGAAGGCCCATCTGAGGGTCTACCCTTCTTGCCTGGGTCTGGGAGGTCTGGGGATCCTTGGGGTTCTGGGACACAGTCCCTGCCTACCCTTCTCACCGGGCCTCCTCACCTCTCTCCCCTGCAGCTGGCTGATGGCGTGAACTCAGGCCAGGGCCTGGGTATCGAGATCATCGGGACCCTGCAGCTGGTGCTGTGCGTCCTGGCCACTACTGACCGGAGGCGCCGCGACCTTGGTGGCTCAGCCCCCCTCGCCATCGGCCTCTCTGTAGCCCTCGGACACCTCCTGGCTGTGAGTTGGGGACCCTCCCAGATGGAGGTGGGGATAGGGAGGGCAGGGGCTGGTGGGGTGCCCTGCCATGGGCAGCCGGTGGGACTTTCAACAGGGCTCTTGCCGTGGGGTGGAGGATGGCAGGCTAGCACTGGGAGTGGAGGGGGGGCGGGGGTTGGGGGGTGAGGGCTGGGTCCTGCCCTGGAGAGGAGCACAGGGACCTCCTGCCCAGCTTGGGATCAGCACTCTTCTCTCCTTGAGTCTCATTGTCCCCCACCCCTGATTATTCTCTCTCTCCCTCCTCTCACTCTCTCTTCACCTGTGACTCTGCCTTTGCCCCTCCCTCTGTCTTTTTCCCTCACAGATTGACTACACTGGCTGTGGGATTAACCCTGCTCGGTCCTTCGGCTCTGCGGTGATCACACACAACTTCAGCAACCACTGGGTAGGCGACCCACGTGCTGCCCCTTTGGCGCAGGGTAGGGGATGGGAGGCTTTGGTGTCCCATGCTAAGCCAGACCCCACCCTTGAAGCGTCCCTTCCTGTCCTGGAGGCTCTGGGAGACAGCCAGGGCACTGGAAATCAGGAAACCAAGGTCTGCCACGAAGGGGCAGGGCGGGGTCACACTGTGAGCTTGAGCCCTCCCAGCTCCTCCCTGCCCCAGGCTGCCCGGCCTCCAGGTCATCCCAGCAGCGTGGTTGAAAGTGGGGCTCCAAATCCTGGCCCTGCCACTTTCGGGTTCAGCATGACCTTGAGCAGCATGCTTGAGCTTCGGTTTCCTGAGCTGTGGAGGGGGATATGGTGGTGCCTACCTCCCAGGGTGGCTGAGAGGAGGAAAGGGCTCACTCCCTATCTGTAAACTGAGCTCAGGACAGAGGTGGCACTTAGTGGATTTTGGCTCTTCTTGTCATGGATGTGGATGTGCTAGGCCAGCCTTGCATTAACAATGGTCTCTGGGACCCTTCCAAAGCTGGGAGGGTGGGGGCAGTGGCCTTCCTCAAGAAGGGGCTGCTACTGCCTGTGCCTGAACTGGGCCACGCAGAGGCAAGGAGGTACCCTCACCACATGGCCTGGCCTGGGCCAGTTCTGAGGGGCACCAGAATCAGGATGTTAGATTTGGTCCTCCTGCCTGCCTCTGCCTCAGGTGGGAGAAAACCTGTCCAACGGGGTGGTGGGCGGGTGGGGGTACCCCAGGGAACTCTTCCCAGGGCTTCTTAGTGCAGCCTTCTGAACACACCTGCTCTGTTCCTAGATTTTCTGGGTGGGGCCGTTTATCGGGGGAGCCCTGGCTGTCCTCATCTATGACTTCATCCTGGCCCCGCGCAGCAGTGACCTCACAGAGCGCGTGAAGGTGTGGACCAGCGGCCAGGTGGAGGAGTATGACCTGGATGCTGACGACATCAACTCCAGGGTGGAAATGAAGCCCAAATAGAAGGGGTCTAGCCTGGGCATCCACGTAGAGGGCAGGGGCAGGGGCAGGGGCGGGCGGAGGGAGGGGAGGGGTGCAATCCATATTGTAGACACTCTGACAAGCTGGCCAAACTCTCTTCCCCAAGATCTGCCAGACCTGCACGGTCAAGCCTCATTTGGGGGTGTTTCTATCACTTTCTTTCTCTTTCTCTGTTTTGTGGCCTCAGAGCTTCCTGGGGACCAAGATTTACCAATTCACCCACTCCCCTGAAGTTGTGGAGAAAGTGAAAGAGAGTGACCCACCTGCTAGTCGCCCCCTCAGAGTGGGATGGGAGGTGTGCCAGAAAGTCCCCCCTCGTTCCAAAGTTGCTCATCGATCCACCTGCGCAGGTGCCTGGGATTCTACTGTAATTGCTTTGTGCCTTTGGACACAGCCCTCCTTCTCCTAACCTGCACCTTGCTCCCAATGGTGCTTGGAGAGGGAAGAGATCCCAGGAGGTGCAGGGGAGGGGCAAGCTTTGTTCCTTCGGTTCTGCTTGCTCCCAGGCCCCCGCCCGCTCAGACTTACTGCCTGACCTTGGAATGATCCCTATCTCAGGGCCTCAGCGACCTCCTTCTGCAGAGTGGCAGGGACAGGGAGAGCTACACAGACCTGCAGCCCCGAGTGCAGACACAGCACAGGTACAGAAAACGTGGTCTAGACCAGGGCTGCTCCTTCCACTCGCCAGGGGCATGGCTCTCGCCACAGGCCTCTGTGTACATGTGTGCAGAGCAGACAGACTACAAAGAGATGGACAGACAGCCAGGTCGTTGGAACTTTCTCTTCCCTGTGGAGGGTGTACCCAAGACAGGGCCTGCTGTTGCGGAATGAAGCCATTTAGAGGGTGAAGGAGAAATACCCATGTTACTTCTCTGAGTTTGAGTTGCTTTTTCCATCTATCACTGCATTCTCTTGCTCATTCTTTCAGTTCTCTACTCCCTCTTGACGGTGTAGACACTGGTCACCATTATGCTGGTATATGTCTATCAAAGAGCACTTGAGCTAGCTGAAGCCCAAAGCCTGAGGACAGAATCACCCTGACGCAGGTCAGCCCATGGAGGCTGGGCATGGCCCTCCTGGGGCTCGGGCGGGGGGGCGGTTTCAAGCCCTCAGCTGGTTCTGAGTGGATGGAGCAAGTCCTGCTCTTGTCCACAAGCTCCTAGTTGGAGACATTTGAGCAGCTGAGTAACTGGCACAGCTTTACTGTGTGACCCCTGGCCACAGCCTTCCTTCCGCGTTGACCTGGAGGGGAGAGGTCAGCCTTGACCTGCTGAGGCAGCTACAGCTGCAGCCCAAGGACAGTTCAGAGATCAGAATCAGCTTTGAAGGCTGAATTCTTCCACTCATCTATCTGCATAAGTCCATTCAATTCCACCAGGGCCAGAGCAGCTCCACCACTGTGCACTTAGCCGTGATGGCCACAGAAACAAAGAGACACAATTATGCAGGAATTTCGAAGCAGAGGGACAACCAGGAGGCCCTTAGCTGTCACCAGCACATCACATCCACACACTCTCTTCTCCATTCCCTGGCAGGAACTTCTAGCCCATTTAACAGATAACAGATAAAGAAACTGAGGCCCTCCGCTTCAGCTAGATAATGATTTAGCCATGCCTAGCAACCAAGGCCCTGTCTGTGGCTACATCCTGGACCATGAGGCCGATTCCTTTCATTTCCAGCTTCTCAGTTTCTGCCTGGGCAATGGCCAGGGGCCAGGAGTGGGGAGGGTGGTGATGGAGGCAGAGGGGCACACCCACCCCCAGCCTGGTTCTATGCTGCTGCGCACCAGGGTCCTCTGTCTGCCTGCTCTGCATAATTGTCTCTTTGGAGTTGGAATTTCATTGTATGTTAAGAAAATAAAGGAAAATGACTTGTAAGGTCCTTTGGGCCTCCTGCAGTTTTTCTTCTTTTGATGCCGCGTCCCCACAAATGTTTCTGGATTACTCCACAAGGAAATCGGTCCACTGCTAGGGACCCTGCCAGTCTGAGGAGGAGCCACTGCCTCCCCTTCTGCCTTCAATACTCCTGATCTCAGGCGATGATACAGCCACACCACAGATTTCATCTGAGGGACACAGGGTCCTACTCCTAATAGAAGACTTAGAGCCCAGTGGGATGACTTCGAAGACCCGGGGGCAGGGAAAAGGGCAGGATTCTGATCAGTTTAAATGGGGCAATGGGAGCCATTTCTGATTCCTGAGTATGGAAGGGATGGGGGAAAGCAGGCCTGAAGTCTAACAGCCCCCCAGCCCCTCGTCCCCTCTACCCTCCACAGAGCAGGACCCCAGGAACACTAGGGATCGCTCCGCCTTCCTCCTTCCCTCCACTCACATTTGCCACCCATCTGACCTGGGCTGAGCGTCTAGCGGGAGACAGACTTGCTCATCAGTGCCCAGTGTGGTTGGCTCTGCGTCAGGCTGAGATTGGGACCCCAGCTCCTGACCCTCCCGACATGCACACACATTTAGTGCTTGATCATAGGGAACAGGTATCAACATGGCAGTGGGCCGAGCTGGGAAATAGTGTATGGGCAGGTCCTGGGGCCCCGGCACTGCTCCTGGGAGACAAATGGTTCCTGCCCGCTCTGTGGAACACCTGGCTGACGGTGATATAAGAGGGGCTCGGTCTCAGGGAGCCAGGGGCTAGACACCCCCCCAGTGAAGACTGAGGCCATGTTGATGGGACAGGCTTTCTTATTTCAGCGTGCCTGGGTCACTCGGCTGCCTCAGTCCCTGAAAACCAGTGCATCACATCTGCACACTTCTCCATTCCCTCGCAAGAACTTCCAGACCATTTAACAGATAAGGAAACTTATCTCCCAGCTTGAGAGGGGCATATAAATGGCAGTGTGCCAGCCAGGCTGCGGGAATCAGCTACCAGCTAGCTCGCTGCATCCCAGACCTGCCTGTGAGGGTGTGCCAATGCTGTCTCTCACAGCCCTTCTCTGCTTGTCTCCTTAACTCATCCCATCCTTCTAGGCCTTCCTTAGTGTATTGCTTAGATATAGAATCCTAGAGCCAAGAGGCAGGGACTGAATAAGACATCAGGGAATTGCTATTTCTTGAGCACTCACTATATGTTAGGAATCTCCCTGAGATTTTGCATACATTCGCTCTAATCTTTACAACATCCTTGGAAGGTAGAGATACACATCCCCATTTGTAGAGGGTGCCAGAGTCCCTGAAGATGAAACGATTTTCCCCAGGCCACACAGCATGTTGGTGGCAGAATTGAGATTTGAACATGTTCTGCTTGGCTTCAAAGATCAGGCTCTTTCCACAATGTGGTCTTGGCCTGTTTTGTCATGATTCCTGCTAAGTTAAGCTCTGGGCTAGCCAGGAAGCCAGGCTGTGTGCCGAGTGCAGCCACTCCAGCAGAGTGCGCATGGGGAGAGGGAAGGGAGAAGAGCCAGCTCTAGAGCCACCCGGCTTCAGGAGAAGCCTGCTTATTCCAGGGTCAGCTGGACATGGTGTCTGCTTGAGACACATTGGTATCACAGGGCCTGAGGCTGCTCCCCTTAGCATTGGTCCCACCCAAGCCTCCCCACTATCTTCCAGGGCCTGGCTATGCCTCTCCCTGGGAGAAAAATGTCTGGGGAACATGTTTACCCAGTAGAGTATCTGAGAAGGGGAAGGGCAATGCTGCATCATGAGGGATAATAATGCACTAAGACAGGGCCTCAGTGGCCTCAGCTACCCATCAGGCAAGGGAGCAACAGCTTAGGGAAAAGGCAATCCCAGACTACTCCTCATCTTCCAGCCTGTGGGTTTAGTGCTCCAGGCACCCCATCTCTGTGGGGCCATCCCCAACACTGCTCTTCTCATCTTCTATACAGCCCAACACAGGGAGAGTTTTGAGGGAATAACAGATGAAGTGGTGCTCTTTGGGCAGCTGAGACCTTGTCTATTTGTTCAGCAGACTTTAATGAAGTAGTGAATTTCCTGAAAGCTCCCAGGATTCAATCTTTGTCCTCAGGCTGTTGAACATTCAGGTAGCTGCACATGTGATGTGGCTTGGTGGGGGGCACCTGCCGTCCCTCTCTGACTGGGTCCCTGATGAGACTAGACAACAGGTCACTATCTCCATCAGATGCCCTCCTGGCCCTTCCCTTGAGATTGCACATGGAATGGCTCAGCTGGCTTGGAAGGTTGTGCCCTCTGCACCCGGCCCAGGAGGAAGCAGGATGTAATCTAGCAGCCACTGAATCCTAGAACATTTGTCTTTCCATCAAACTCACAAGAGCAAAAAGTTGTGGTTCTGAAATTGCTCCATTTATTCAGAGGCCCCCTAGGAACCCTGGGACAGATCAGAGGGTCAGCTGGAGCCGAGGTGAACGTTCACATCAGCCTGAGGTTGGATTTCAGCCACACATATTTATGATCTCAAGTATCGGATCAACCTCTCCTGGGTTTCTATACATTCAAGAGTCTAAGCTCCTTATAGATGCATATTTCCCTTTCGACATTTCACCTTCTCCTCCAGAATCAAGCGGATTCATCTTTCCCAGCCCTGGAGAGGTTTTGAGAGGTTATAGGGAAAAGACTTGATTTCTGCAACACCCTGGACTAGGAGTCGTGAACTGGTCACAGATGTGGTGAAGCTTCAGTGGGGTTAGTGGCCCATAGCCCTGGCCCTGCTCCTAGCACCGTCATCCGTCTCAACGTTCCTGTGGCCTCTGAGGGCCCAAATGGAAGGGTGTGGGGCTTAAGGCCACTAGACCACAAGGACCGCGGTGCCTTTGGGGGATTTGGTAGCTGCAGGGAGGGTTCTCTCCTTTTTGGGATTCTTAGGCGGTCCTCAGTATCCCTGGAACCCCAGTCAGGAGTCTGGAAAAGCACTGGAGGAACTGGTGCCGGGTCCCCCGTCCATGGCGTGGTCAGGCCATGTGCTGACCCATTGGGATTTTTCCATGGCTCCTGTAGGTCACACCTTCACTGGTTAGAAACCTCTCGAGGAGGGGACAGTGATTAATGTTTCATGGAGGAGCTGCTGGGCATGATGCCTTGTTTTCTTTAGGTTTAGAACACAATGAGGACAATGAGTGGAATTTGCTGCCGAGCTGGGGGCCAGGGTGGGGCCATTCTTGGGGGCCTGGAGACCCAAAGGTAGTGATGTTTACTGTCCTTACTGCCAAAAAGGGGGCGATTCTGTAGATAGGGAAGGCAGGTGAAGCCTGCGCTTATGGGGCTGTGTTCCCTAGCCCTCAAGTGCCCACCAGTCCCCACTGATACCTTGGGCCCTGGTGTGCAGAGAGGCCTATGGCGAAGGGTATTCAGCAATTTTAATGAGCTCGTCCTGCTTAGGTGATTCTGCTTCATTCCAATAAAACCATGTTTTCTGCATGTAGGATTTCGCTTATTTTTCTGTTCTTTCCAGCGCATCAATCAGGAAATGGATGAGGGCACAACTGATCTTCAGCCTGTTCTTTTCTTTTTGAGATGGAGTCTTGCTCTGTCACTCATGCTGGATTACAGTGGTGCTATCTTGGCTCACTGCAACCTCCGCCTTCTGGGTTCAAGTGATTCTTCTGCCTCAGCCTCCTGAATAGCTGGAATTACAGGCATGTGCCACCATATCTGGCTAATTTTTGTATTTTTAGTACAGACAGGGTTTTGCTATTTTGGCCAGGCTGGTCTCGAACTTCTGACCTCAGGTGATCCACCCCCCAACAGCTCGACCTCCCAAAGTGCTGGGATTACAGGTGTGAGCCACTGCGCCCGCCCACCTGCTCTTAAAACATTAAAATCTTTCCATCTGTTTTGAGCCATCCAAGTAACATCCTCCTAGCGCTGCTGTCTGGCTTTCCTAGCTGCCTGCCCCTCTTTATTCTCCCCCAGACCTCCCCACAAGTCAGCACTCAATGGGTTAAGGGGCCCCCGCAGACCCTGTCCAGCACTACAGTTGTGGGATGGTTCTGATGGATTCGTGTCTTCACTATACCAGGGTGGTGTATATTTTACACATCAACCTTGGGTGAGAGAGAGTAAGAGCTGTCTATCCAGCAAGGTCCAAGTTAGAAAAAGTGTGTGTGTGTGTGTGTGTGTGTGTGTGTGTGTGTGTATGCAGATTGGGGCACAGAGTCCAAGGTTCCTGCCCTCTCTGGTCCTCAGCCTCCCCACCTGTAAGGAGAGTGGGTGAAGTGCTCCCTTCTCTGTGATGTTGGTGGTCCCTGACCTGGGGGTGGTGCTTTGGCTCATCTGGAATTCCCAGGGAGTGGGGCCAGATGGGGCAGTACCTATATGGGGTACAGCTGGGGCCTGGGGGGCATCTTCCCCCAGGATGCGCCCACTGTGCTCTGGGGGCTCTGCTCCCTCTGTGCCTTGAGTTTCGTGGAACTCAAGAGACGTGTTATTCCGAATAGACGTCACCACCAGGTACTAGACTCAGTTTGCCTAGAGCCAGCATGCTCCCCAGGAAGAATATTGGTTTGAGAAGGCTGGCCTGGCTTGTGTTCATTAGGGTGAATTAGCAGACATTTCTCAATAAGCTGCTAAGTCGGTAAGCAGATCTATAATTTGTAGAAGAGTATTACCTTTTCTCCCTCTGAAATAGTAATATGAGGAAAGCTGATTCAACAAATGAGTCCACTCCAAAAAAAGCAAACCCAAAGAATTAGTACAGATGAAAAGTTCTTAAGGACTGAAGCTTACCATTCACAGCAGCCTTGAACATTCTGAAAGGGGTAAACGTGTCCCTGGTGCCTTATTTCATATAAGTGTTTTTTAAAAAGCTTATATTTTTCATAAGGCACCTTAAATAGAAGTAATAACTTATGCCTTTAAGGAACTCAAATAGGAAAGAAAAACAAATCAAACCAATAAAACCAAGAAAATGTATTTTAATCGTGTGAGTGCAGAGTAGGTGGCTGGGGGTGGTGCTCA